GGGAGGGCAGTTGCAGTGAATTTGTGGGGCAGGAAGCCAGGTCACATGGTAGAGCAGGAGGTGCAGCAGTAGAGAAGTGAGCGCTGTCATCACACCGGTCCGGAGCCCAGGGGAAAGGAGAGGAGTAGTTAAAGATACACAAGCTAGGGGGTGGTGGTTGGATTAAGTTCTCAAGAAGGGAAGATACAGGATCCAGATTTCAGAGGGAAGGACTTGCCTAGGTAACAAGGAGGGACATCTCTGCCAATGAAACTAAAAGATAATTAGGGTAGGTATTGGTAGCTTGGTGTCCTGTAGTGGTCTTAATAAAGTCGGAAACAAGTAGTAAATCCCTCTAATTAAGCAACCCTCGCATGATTAATTGGTGCCTCAACATGTTCAATCTAAGAATTTCGCAGTGGCCTGTTGGGTTCTTCGTGGTCAGTTCATAGCCTTTGGTGAGGCTGAGCTTACAAGAAGCATCTAAAAGAATATCACCTTTCCTGTGATTGACTGTTTTCTTCTTACATAAGGGTACTTTCTTAAAATTCTATCTCTAGTGTTAGGTAGAAAGATCTTCACTAGGCCTGAATTAAATGAAGGATTTATGTATAGGGAATCAAACCTAAAACTTATTAAAAACTTTCAGAGTCTGAGCCGTCTGGAGTGTTCTGAAGGTCTATGTAATAAAGTTGCTCTTTGGCTTACCTGATGAATTTCCTTGCTGATATTAAGATCTTAAAATCCAGGCATTGCAGTATCCTCTTATCCTGCTTAAATCAGGAGAGACCGTTCATGTAATTGATTGGTCTGCAACATAGGACCCTAAAAAAGGATCCTCCAGCTTTGGGGCAAGGTTGTTCTATAAAACCCTTTCCTGAGGAACTTATAGCTTGACTCTAAGCAGGCTAGCTGCTCTTGGGAAGGACTTGTAATCATGCTGCTTTTAGTAATTAACGTTCAGAATTAGTACTTGGACCTCTTCCCTCTGAATTGAAAGTCAGTTTTTTAGCTATTCGAAGCATGACTGATTTGAGGCCATCCGGTTTCCCTAGTGCATTATCCCCATGAGAGGGCTCGGTAGGTGAACAGCATAACTATGGGTAGTAAAATTTAAAAGACTCAATTGTGTTAATCGTATCTTCAGGTCTAAAAGAAATGAGGCAGTGGACTGAACTCTTACAAGTGGCTTGGCTTTGATTTCATTCTGTGTGTTTCTTTAGCCAGTCTTCTAATCATATTGGCCAATCAAGAATGTTTACTTATTACCTATAAGAGTCCAGTCCAGGGAATTCCCTGGTGGTCCAGTGGTTAGGGCTCAGGGCTTGCACTGCTGGAGCCCGGGTTCGATCCCTGGTAGGGGAAATAACATCCCATAAGCTGCATGGTGTGGCCAAAAAAACAAAAAACAAAATAACTGTCCAGTCCAATATGTAAAAACTCAGATATACCAGTAAGTATCACCTTTTTGCTGGGGCCTGCAAACATAATGGAAAAACAGTATTAAAGCTAACTAAAAGTTCTGCCCGCCACATTTTCACCAATGCCAGGTCCACTCTGCTTTGCTCTATTTATTGCCCTTATAACCAAGAATAGTCTGTTTCTAATTTTACAAAGTTCTCACTCTGAAGACAACAGGTTTTGTTTATAGAATTTCTTTTATTATAAAAGTAATATGGGCTTGCTATAATAGGTTAAACAATACATAGATGGAAAAGAAAAAGTTAACAGATTTCCTTTTAAACTAGCCAATATTTTAAAGAGGTGGAATTCATGTGATTTCTTTTTAGTCCACTGCCTCAGCTCTTTTAGACCTGAAGATGCGATTAACACAATTGAGTCTTCTTTATTTTCTACCCATAGTTATTCTGTTAACCTACCAAGCCCTCCTATGGGGATAATGCACTAGGGAAATCAGATGGTTTCTCATCAGTCATGCTTCCAATAGCTAAAAAGCTGACTTTCACTTCAGGTAAGGGGAAGGATTTATTTTAGTCTTATAATGTAGAGCTTTAGATGTTAGAAGCTATGGGACATGCAGAAAAGTAAAGCATGATCTCTTTCCTCAAGGAGTTAATGATCTCATTGGTGAGTAAGAATGAGCACATTAAGAGATCAGAATTTATATAATTATATAAGTATGGATTGAGTGATTAGCATAGTAAGTACCATAAAAATTTGGAGAACAAAGAGACTGTTGAGAAATGGAATTGTCGGGAAAGGCTGCCAGAGTAATTTTTCTCAAACACAAATCTCACGTGTCATTCTTCTATTTAAAATTTTTCAATACTTTCCCTTACCTTCCCCTCACCAGTTTCTTGGTGATAAAGTTTGGACTCCTTAGCTTGTCATGAAAGGCCGTGATTTGACCCATGCCATTCTATCCAGTTTTAAGTGTCACCACTACCTATTACACGTCCTGTCTTTCAACCATCCTTAATTCTGTGCAGTTGTCTGAACATGAGCTCCTTCTTATCGCCGTGATTTTGCACTAGGTAGAACTTCATGTAGTAGCTTTGTCCCTTCTCTTTCTGGCTAACTTGTACTCATCTTTTAAGGTTTAGTTAGTCACTCACCTGGAAACGTTCACTAACCTCCCATGGGTCCCTCGTCTACTCAGACAGGTTAGCCATTTCTCTTACGTTCTTGAGCGCTCTGTGCTTACCTCTGTTAACAGCACTTGTCAAGCTGCATTGAAGTTATTTCTCCTTTCTGCTAGACTCTTTTAAAGGTAGGGACTGTGACTTTGTGTAGCACAGGGTATTCCAAGCAGCTAGCTCCTTGATAAGGACTTATTCAGAGAATAAATGAGTGAATGAATGAGCTGAATTTTAAAGAATAAATAGCATTTGGAGAGGTGGAGAGGAAAAAAGTAGCTTGCCATGAAGAGAAAACAAATGTCAGTGATTTAGACGAGATTGTAGCTGCAAGCTGATTCTGATTCAGTCTGCAGATGATAGAGGCTTGGAAAGGATGATGAAGAGGTCAGATAACTGAATCAGCATCTAAAGAAGATCGAAAGATCAAAATATGTTGGAATGACAGTGGCCACATCTAATAAATATTCTGGCTTCAAATACTTGCAGCACTCTATGAAGTGAAAGTCAGATAAGACTTAAAAAAAACCAACAGTTCCAAGTGAGCGCCAATAGGTAGAATTTATAAGGGTGCAGATTATGACATGTTATGGAACTATTAAATTAGTATGTGTTGCTTTATGAGGTAGTGAATTCTCTATTATCTTAAGTTTTAAGAGTCAATAATATTGTAGATGTATGCAAGATTTGGACAGACCTTTCAACTCTGAATATATGATTCTTTGTTGTTGAGGGGATTTGTGAATCAGCAGGGAATTAGACTAAATCCATTCTAATTCCTAAGTTCTGTGGTCTGTAATAGGAAGAGATCACTGTTCCTTGCAAATAAAGCAGGAAAGGAAGAGGTGGTAAAGGTAAGGTTAGAGAAAGAGATGAAGGAGCACTTACTGGATGGCTCTAGATTCAGAAAAATAAGAAGATAGAGCATCCACCTGGAAGTGGAGAGAAAGCCTTAGTGTTGTTTGGAATGGTACCTATGTGGCTTTTACTTGGGAGTCAGTAAGAAGGGAATAACTGTGGCAGTAGAGAGAGAAAACCTAACTGAAGTTTGTGTGAATTACTAGTGAGCCAGAGTTACTGGCTCATATATAATTCTGCTACTTTCTTCTGAAATTTCTCTGAGTTGGAGAAGAAGTGGAGGAGTCAAGCCATGGTAGTCATTCAGGTTTGGGGATTGTCCTGGTGAACATACTAGTAGAAGGTTAGGCCCGTGAGACTCCCTGGGGTATTAGTGACTGCAGCTTTGAATTGCTTAACTATGTTGTCTAGCACAGGCTGGGATGATCTTAGGTGTTCTTAATAAACAGGGTAAAATAAGAAGGGAGTGATTGAAGGTTGAGAATGATGAGGAGCTATGAAAGATTGATAAAGATGACTGCTAAATAGGTATGTGTGGAGAAGGAACGAGGCTCAGGAAGTGGCATGGTGGTGGCTGGCTGTGAATTGGAGCTGAAGGTCAGTGGAGCCAAGCAGGCTCACATGCATTGTCCACACATATGCTGAAGTAATTTGAGGATGACACCATAGGATACCCTTGGAGCTAGTAAATGTGAACCAAGTTGTTAAGAGAAGTTAACGTAGATTTGCCACGTGGAGGGGGCAGGCAGCAGGGAATGGTCGATGACAGAAAGGATGATTTGAACAAGATGGTATAGTGGAGGGCAAGGGCTTCAAATAAGTAGAAAAGGAACGGAGCTGACGAATCAGTGGTCTGGAGGTGGCGTTGTGGGAGAAGGTGAGTTCTCCACAGGATCAGGCCTCTGTGGCGCAGTCACTGTCAAGTGTTGACAGTCATGTTTCTGTTAAAGAGGTGAACAGAATTGAGAATGAAAGACAGTTTGCCTACAAAAAAAAGTGGGGCTCTGTAAGACTTGGGAGAAGGGAGGGAGGGAGGAGATGTGTGGGGCAGGGCATAGTGGGCAGCTCTTGAGAGCTTGGTTGGTGAGGCTGGGGAAGAAGCTGGAGTGAGGGAGTACTGGGGAGGAGGGGGTGGGAGGAGAGCATTGGTCAAGAGGACCAGTGTGTGGAGGGTGAGATGTAACCCTGCACTATAGGTGTCCCGAGCGCCAAGGGCACTGCACCCCTTCTGTTGGGGGTTTTCACAGCTTTGGCTTTTTGGAGCTTGCTGGGGGCAGGGGAAGCAGGGAATCACTGTGCTCCCCGGAGAATTACGATGCGAAGGAGACTTTGCCATGACAAGATTCTTGAGGCACATGATTCTGTCTAATGCATAAAGTGACAACATGGTAAGGACAGAAGAGGAAGTTCAGACAGACTGAACCTTCCCAACAACAAGACGCTGTCTCATAGTCCTGAGGAAACTGTCTCCACTGTCCTGGAGAATCTGGGTGTGGGCAAGGCAGTGGTTGGGGAACGTCTTGCCGGGTAGCGCTAAGCCAGTGCCTTCTCCTTGTTTCCTCACAGATGAACGGGACCGTGTGCAGAAGAAGACGTTCACCAAGTGGGTCAACAAGCACCTGATGAAGGTAGGACCCCTTCGTGGATGCTGCCCTGGCCCCTCTGGCTGCTCCTGATCTGGATCTATCAGTCCCTTCTCTCCGTTCATGTTACTGGCCATGTGCTCCAGTTGATGGGGATACACATGACTTTTTTTTTTTTTTTAGTATCTAACATAGTCCGAATAACGTGGTAACTTCCACTGATCAGTTTCTTGGTGAAGACAGTAACACCTCCATTACCTGAGGAGGCTGAGGTTGAGGATACCGTGGCGTGATTCCTGGGATTTCCAAGAACACTTTGCACCAAACTTTACATACTATTTTATAAGCCCCTTTCTTGTTTTAAATTTTTTAACCTGATTAATGTGGAAGGATGGGGCAGAGGAGATTTTGTTCTCTCTCTTAAGGTATGCAGATCTTGAATGATCAGTTTAATGAATTTTTAAAATATGTATATTCAGGTGTAACCCCCATACAGTTTAGAATACAGAGCAAAATGGCTAGGGTTGGAGGGAGATCTTATTATTATTTTTATATTATTATTTTTAAATAGAGGAAAATCCAAGGCAGAGGCATATTAAATACTCACCTAAGGATAAACAGTATGACTAATGTGGCAGTCAGATTTGAAAACAAAGTTTTTAAGTTACAATAATTACTCAAATAACTGTGAGCTATAATAATTACTGCTCTGGGAAAGATTACCGGTGACCTCTCAATTGCTGTATCTAGTAGCCTAGTTTTATCTTCTTCTCTTTTGATTTCTCTGTAGCATTTGACAGTGTTGACCAACTCACTGCTCCCTTTGTTTTTTTTTTAATTTATTTTATTTTACTTTATTTATGTATGTATTTATTTTGGGCTGCACTGGGTCTTCATTGCTGTGAGCGGGCTTTCTCTAGTTGTGGCGAGTGGGGGCTACTCTTCGTTGTGGTGTGCGGGCTTCTCATTGCTGTGGCTTCTCTTGTTGCAGGGCACAGGCTCCAAGGGCACGGGCTTCAGTAATTGTGGCTCGTGGGCTCTAGAGCACAGGCTCAGTAGTTGTGGCGCACGGGCTTAGTTGCTCCGCAGCATGTGGGATCTTCCCGGACCAGGGCTCGAACCCGTGTCCCCTGCACTGGCAGGCGGATTCTTAACCACTGTGCCACCAGGGAAGCCCTCACTGCTCCTTTAAAGCTGTCTTTTATGTTGCCTTCTGGGACACTGCTTTTTCCTCAGTTACCTCTTCCCTCCATGAATGCCTCTCTCACTGGCTTCTCTTGCTCCTTCTGAGTCTTCCATGTTGACGTTCCCTGGGTCCTAACCATTTTCTTGTTTTCTACTCGATATTCTTTGGCAGTCTCATTTGCGTTGATCATTGCGGGGATCATTTGGTTGCATGGAATGCAAGGAATCATAAGTTGAAAGGGTTACAGGGTGATCTCCAGAGTCTGGTGTCTGGATGCATCTGAGCTTTATGAAAACTAAACTTTATTGGGCAGTTACTCTCTCTTTCTCTTTTTATGAGGCCTTGTGTTTCTTCATTTTTATATCTTTCTGTGTGTCTCCTACATTTAGTTCTCTGCATTCCTGCCGTTGCTTGTGTGTGAGCCACGGTGGCTGTCCCTCAAATGGTAATGTAAACCCCTGCAGCTACATGATTCTAAAGATGCAAACACAAGCAATCTGGTTGGCTGAGGTTTTCTTCTCCTCCATGGGTCAGTGGTCTATCTATTTAGTTCCGTAAACTATGGCCGGGGAGATGGTTACATAAATCAAACATGGCTCGTTAGGGCCACTTGTTTAACTACAAATGAGGGCGATTTTCTGACTACAAGATATAGATAAGGAGGTGATGATAGAGCCTTTTCCTGCATTCTTTCCTAAGCCCAGGACCTGTATCTCACAGTGTACTTGACACGGTCATCTGGATGTTACCCAGACATGTCCTGTATTCAACACATCCCAAATTGCCCAGTATTTTCACTCGTGTACCTAGCTGTCCAAGTTAGGAACCTAGAATCATACTGTATTTAGTCCTGCCCATCATCTCTCCCTGTCACCAACTACAATCAATCCCTTCGAACTCAGAAAGATGCTTGCATCTGGTTTCTCTTCTCCATCCCCATTACCTCTGTTCTAGCCCAGGGCCTCTTCATCTCTTGACTTGGCCATAATAGTTTCCTAATAAAGTTTTCTATAAGAACAAATATAATGATAATGGTAGTAGTTTATTGAGTGCTTACTGTAAATCAGACTTTCTATACTGAGTCTTTTATATGGATCATCTCATTTAATTCTTCACTGACCTTATGCTGTAGATTCTATTAATAGTCCCATTTTATCAGTGAGGTTCAGAGAGGTTAAATAACCTGTTCGAGGTCATACCACTAGAAGGAAGAAGAACTAAAATACTAGAACTCAGGCAGCCTAAAGTCTGGCACCTGTGCTCTCAACCTCTGCACTGCTGACACCGATCTGCCTACCTTTCCAGGCTCATGGTGTCATATTCCTCTCAGACCTTAAGCTCTTGCTGAACTGTTTGCCATGCTATTTATGACACCGTATCTTCACTCATGGGGCTCCCTCTGCGTGGATTACCTTCCCCAGCTCTGTTCTGCCTGGACAACACCAACTTAATACCTCCTCAATAGATACTTTCCTGACTCTCCCACCTGGAATTGACTGGCCTTTCCTTTGTGCCCTCCCTGTATTCGTTACGTACTTCTGTTATAGCACCTGCAACATTCATCTTTCTGCCAGATTGTAACTTGAAGGTTGATGTTGTGTCCTGTTTTTTTTCAGTTGGGACAAAGGAGGAAGGGAGAGAGACAGGGAGAAAAAACCCTGCAATTTTCCTCTAATTTCTTCAACATTTACCTGTTAGTTGCCTCTGGTTTGGTGGCACATAACTCTGTCATGGTGCAGAGCCCTTCACAGCCTGTTTCCAACCAGGCATTGTCCCCTGCATAGCCTGTGCTGTAGCCGTACGAAACATCTCACTGCTTCCTAAACACTGTACTTCCGTACCTCTTTGCTTATTCATTTCTCTCTCCCTTGAATGCATGTCTTGTCCTCCTCTGCCTGGCCATCACCCACTTACCCTTCAAGACCCAGGTCCAGTATCCCCTTCCTGAGGCTCTGACCTCCATCCCTTGGACTAAATTAATTGCAGCTCCATCTCTGTGCCACACCACTTTGAAGAGATGGGCTTGTGTGTTCACACGTTGGTGTCCTCTGCTCCTTGAGGTCTAGGACTTGTGCACTGTGTCAGCCAAGTACTGCACCCGGAGCATGAGAAGTATCCAGTAAGGATTTGTTACCTTGAGTAAATAATAGCTCAGTAGTCTTTTTAGCTTACAAAGCATATTCTAATATGACTTGATCCTTACAGTAACCCTGAAGGAGGTAAAGGTGTTTTATCCTTTCAGTTTTAACAGTTGAGGAAAGTGAGAATTAGAAGAATGAAGTGACTTTCCCAAGGTCATACAGCTAGTGAAGGATGGAGCTAAAGAGCAGGCATGAGGCTTCTGGCCAGAATTACTTGCTGTTACTATCAAATATGCCCCCACCTTGCTCTGCTTTCATACCTCATCTCTTAACAATTGGAAGAACTGAATTTATCCTGCCTCAAGCTTGCCCCCCTAAACTCTGTAGCTGGATGCAAGTGCTCTGCCTCCCTGCTCTTCACTTGCAGCTGATGTTGCCTGTTGAACTTCTGCCTCAGTTCTGTGTGATGACAGGAGGCCCAGGGAGGTAGAAACTAGACGAACACATAGCATTGTTAGAAATTGGAGGCCAGCCAGAGCTTTACTTAAATCCTTGGCAATTTTTCATCTCTTCTCAGGCCCCCAGCCTTACAGTTCCAATGGCATTTTCTCATCTTGGAATATTTCACAGAGATTCACTGCTCATCAGAATCATTGCTCCATGTTGGAATTCTTTGAACTTTGGGCTGAGAATTAGGGATCAAATCTGTTTTTTGTAATTCAGGCATCCTTTGCTTTGCTCCCCAAGTACACATGAACTACATTAGTGTTGCCATTGGCAAGTAGAATGATGTAAGATCAAAACAGCCAAGCCCCTCAAGTGCTAGATTTAGTTGACCTAATCTCTTGGATTCCCAAGTATCTCTTTAGGAAACAGTTTGTTCTTGCATAAGCAAATCAATTCCTCTTTATTAGCTGAGAACACTGTTGGTCCAATCATAAAAGAGATTTAAGGATGTAAGCATCTGAAATATATAAATAACCTAATTTAGAACACAAGTCCTACAAATCGAAGAGTTCTGCTCATATGCCAGAACCATCACAAATAAAAACCTAGGGCTTCCCTGGTGGCGCAGTGGTTGAGAGTCTGCCTGCCGATGCAGGGGACACGGGTTCGTGCCCCGGTCTGGGAGGATCCCACATGCCGCGGAGCAGCTGGGCCCATGAGCCATGACTGCTGAGCCTGCACATCTGGAGCCTGTGCTCCGCAACGGGAGAGGCCACAGCAGTGAGAGGCCTGCGTACTGCAAAAAAAAAAAAAAAAAAACCCTAGAGTTTTAAGTGAGATTTTATTCACATTATCCTTGATATATCTCTGGGTTCTGGTAGCTGATAAAGTATTCCAAAGAGAACTTCAAGAAAGGCTGAAACGATGAGACAGAACTGAGAGCATGAGCTCCTGAAAAGGAGGAGGAAGGCTTTCTCTGGTCAGTTTCTACTACTGCGGAGGTTAGTGGGTAGAAAGGAAGGAAAGCATTTAATCTAACAGATGGACTAATTCTTTCCATCTTTAGTCATGTATGCAGTCTAGAAGCAACTGGCCTTCCTGGAATTTTAGTTAAGAATTCCAGATAAACCAGCAAAAGTTTTTAACTCCAAAGTTTTACTAATGTTCTCAATTTTTCTCCGCCTCTTTGAGGCTCTCTAGCTGAACACAGGGTGGGAGAATGCTCTAATGGTTCCAGGCACTCTCTCTTGCGCAGCCTCTGTGCTGTGGCCACGTGAGATGGAGACTGGCAGTGGAGTGTAATTTAAGAGATTGATGGAGTCGTGCTGGTC